GTTATTTAATGTTCAGACATGTATAAAATGTCTTTGGTTTCCTTTTTGGCTGACCTCGTCATACAGCGACTTGCTAGTACACATGGGGTGATTCCAGTTCTTTTGTACTGATGTAAGCAGGCTTTTTGGACAAGTGTGTTGTCTGTTTTGGAGAAAGTCCTGTGTGCTGCTGAGAAGAATGCATTATCTGTTACACAGTGTGGCACTTGGTGTGGGAACAGTTTCCTTGGTGAGCAGTTTGGTTCACAAGCAGGAGTGTCTGGCAGAACTGTGCCTTTTCTGCCAACTCTGTGTCAGGCGATGAACATGACAGTGGCCGTCTTTCCCACGTGAGCACCAGTGTGGCTGTGTTTTCAAGAATCATGGAATGAATGACATTCGTGAGCTTAAGCACCACTGTAGTAGGATAAGACATTCTGTAGATACCTGTTGAGTCCACTCATTCGAAGATTTGGTTCAACTCAGATATTTGTATTGATTTTTTCCTTTCACTGATCCATCTCTGTGAAAGTGGGTCACCCAGTGTGACTGGGTTGGACACAATCTTATCTTTTACATCCAGCAGTGTTCCGTGAAATTATCATCCCCAATATTCAGTGCAATTGGCATCTCTTCCTGCTGAATTGTTCCCTTAGCCAATATGCGGGGACCTTCTTTGCCTCGTCTGATCAGCATTAGCTTGAAGCTGACTGTGGATGAGTAGCGCTGAAGCCCATGCCTGCCTTCAGGGCCCAGTGTGTGCAACGCTGCTTGCTGCCCTTTGATGGTTTTAGTCTATGAATTTCTTTTTTGGTTAAGTGAGTTTCTTGAATACATCAGACTGCTGGACTTTGTTTTTGGGTTTTATGTTTTGTTTCTGTTTTTAATCCTGTCTGCTAATCTGTGTCTTTTCAATGGGAAGTTCAGGCCACTTACACCGAGTTATTATTGAAAGCTACTGATTTATTACTGTTGTTGCATTGTTTTCTGTTAAACTTTTTTATTTTTCCTTTTTAATTTAACTACTTGTGTTGCTGGACTACTTGTTCCAACTGAATTTCTTTTTTGGCTTTGTTGCTTCACTTTCTTTCTAGGATGTCTTGAGAATGTTCTGGTGTGCTGGATTGGTGGTCATAAATTTCTTCAGGTCTTCTTCGTCGCGGAATGTTCTTATTTCTCCATCAATTTTGAAAGATGGTTTTGCAGGATATATTAGTCTGGGTTGAAAGTTGTTTGCTTTTAGGGCTTGAAACACTTTGCTCCAAGCTCTCCTAGCCTTTAAAGTTTGTGTTGCAAAGTCTGCTATAATCCTAATGGGTTTACCTCTCTATGTGATTTTTTTCTTTTCTCTGACAGCTTTTAAGATTCTGTCTCTTAGTTGGACATCTGGGATTCTGACTTGGATATGTTGCGGGGAGCTTCTTTTTCATTGTAATGATTTGGTGTCCTTTATGTTGAGATCTTTTCTCCTAGTTGGAGAATTTCTATTATTATTTCTATAAACAGTTTATTTTATGTGTGGTCTCTTCTAATTTCTCTCTAATTCTAATTAGCCTTAGGTTACTCTTCATTGCATCGTCTAGTATGTTGGATGTTTTTTTTTTTTTTTTATCCTGCCTCAGGTTTATTTGTACAAAGAGCACAGGAGGACACCAGTGCCCCATAGATGGCACCCCAGGGGTCACACCAGTCCTGTTTTTACATCAGCAGATAAGAGGCTTTTACTATGGAGCCTTCACAGGGGCCTGGGCACCTTTGGGGGCCTGGACACCTTTAGGAACTTGGGCTGTAGCAGAAGCTGGAGCCTGGACCTTGACTGGAGCCTGGGCCTTTGGCCAGCAAGGCCTGTGACCCTTGACAGTGCGGGCACAGATTTGCTTCCCAAGATTGGGGTGGGCAGTATAGGCAAGTCAAGCAAGCATGTGGTTTACTCCCTTTGGGATGCTCTTGGGCTTGACCTCCTTAGGCTTGACAAGGGTCTTGATAGCCTCGGCACATGTATTCATGGCCTTGGCAGTGTTTGCTTGCATCTTCTGGAAGCCCTTCTTGTTGTGCTTCTTGGAAAAATGCATGTTCCTAAGGAAGCTGGGATCTAGCCCTTCAGAGATTCGTATCCTTGTGAACGAGGCTTCTTGATGCCATTTCTGTGCCATTTGGGGGACTGGTTGTGCATGGTGTGGTTCTCGGACTTGGCCATAACTGCACTATAAACTGCGGCTGCCAAGCACCCAGAGCCCTGGATGAAGTTTCCTTGTCCTCTTCCTACTTTTAAGTCATCTTTAAGTATTTCACCATGAATTTTCATTTCAGCCTTAATTTCTGAAACCCTTCCTTCGCACTGGTCATTTCTGCTATTAATGAATTCTACAGACGCCTCATCTCCAGGGTTTGTGTCAGCACCTTTTCGTGGTATCTGTTTCTTTGGTAAATTTCTCACTCGTGTTCTGAACCGTTCTGATCAGCTCCTCCAAGCTGGGCATGTCTCTCCTGCATCCACTCGGTCGGTCGGTGTGGCAGCCTCACTGTCTTTCGGGCCACATCCTCTCTGAACACCCTGAATTTCTTTAAATAGTGGATGTTTATAAGACTTACTTTTCAATGGAGAAATAGTTCTTAAAATTAAAAAAAAATTGAACTAAATAAAAATGCCATAAATCAAAATGGGTGAGAAGGAACCAAAGTAATTACTTGAAACATGGTTTATAGCTGCAAACATTTACATTAGAAAAGAAGGGGCGATGGGGGGTTGCTCCGTGGTAGAGCACTTGTCCAGCATGCAGGAGGACCTGGGCTCAACCCCTAGCACTAAAAAGTGAAAAGAAAAAAAAAGAAAGATAGGAAGGAAGGAGGGTGGGAAGGAAGGAAGGAAGGAAGGAAGGAAGGAAGGAAGAATGAATTTTTTAAATGAAGAATAAAGGCTAATACACTTAACATCAATCTTAAGAACCTCAAAGAGGAAGGAAATAAAGTTATAGCAGCCAGTGGAACATAAATTTACCACAAAGAACTCTGAAAAGATGCAAAATGTGCGGTATTTAAGCTTAGAAAGTGGTGCTAGCAGGTGAGGCAGGGTAGCGAGCACACGTGGGTGCTGGAGCGACTGCCGGCCGGCCCCACGTGGACCACTTTCCTGCCACCGGCCCGGGCAGAGCTTCGCAGCTGGCACAGGTGGGCACGCAGCTGGACTCTGCACGGCCAGGCAGTGCCCACGGAATCCCCACGCTCAGCGCAGGATTTCCACGTTGTGCACTCTGGCCACAGTGTCTTCTCCCCACAAAGAAAACGAGAAGGGTGTGCCGAGGTGTGGAAAGCGTGCGCAACTCCCCGAACCAGGGAACTCTCATCAAGAGCTGAACTAATTCAAGGCCAGCTTTTCCCAGCCTCGGAGTCTGCCCTCTCGCCCTGCTCGTGAATAGGAGGTGAGGACAGTAAATCCCTGGGGCTGCTAGCTGCTGATGCCCAGGAATGCCACCTACAGGACACCCAACTTGAGGGAAAACACATTTTAAGGAAAAATGGGAGAAAGAAGGGCTACCTGCCACTTTCACGTGTGTAGAAGTTCCTACTCCTGCTAGTGGTAGCCCAGGAATTATGATAATGGGCTTTGGAATCCGAAACCACGTGAACAATAGCAAGTATGTGACACTACAAGCCAGGCATAATGCTAAGATCACAGATGCAGTACTCAGAACATCCCTTTTCACGGGTCTAGTCTTGTCCCATAATACAAGTTAAGAACCTCAGATGCAGATAAATTACATTTAAATTTCTCGAAATTGGCAGAGGCAGGACCCCAACCCAAGCCATCAGGCTTCAGAACTGCTTTTCTTATCTATTCTTCCACTCTGGGTCCCAACTTCCTCATCCATCCATCCATGACAGTAGCCACCAGCCCAAACAGAAAATGAGAGGAGGTCATGAAAGATTCTGTCCACAGCATCTGCACATAGTGAGTGAGGAGGAGGAAGAGAACAATGAGGAGGAGGAGCACGGCAAGGAGGAAGAGGAGGGCAAGGAGGAGGGCGAGGAGGAGGGTAAGGAGGAGGAGGGCAAGGAGGAGGAAGAGGGCAAGGAGGAGGAGGGTGAGGAGGAGGGTGAAGAGGAGGAGGAGGAAGAGGAAGAGAAGGGGGAGGAGGAGGGTGAGGAGGAGGAGGGCGAGGAAGAGGAGAGGAGGAGGAGGGCAAGCAGGAAGAGGAGGAGGAGGAGGGCAAGAAGGAGGAGGAGGAGGAGGGCAAGGAGGAGGAAGAGGGCGAGGAGGAGGAGGGTGAGGAGGAGGGTGAAGAGGAGGAGGATGAAGAGGAAGAGAAGGGGGAGGAGGAGGGTGAGGAGGAGGAGGGCGAGGAAGAGGAGAGGAGGAGGGCAAGCAGGAAGAGGAGGAGGAGGAGGGCAAGAAGGAGGAGGAGGGCAAGGAGGAGGAAGAGGGCGAGGAGGAGGAGGGTGAGGAGGACGACGAAGAGGAAGAGAAGGGGGAGGAGGAGGAGGAGGG